AATAAATCTCTAGATTAGAATTGAATTAATTAATGTCTAGATTAATAAACAATAAATAGATTAATAAAACATTAATAATAAGAATTAATTACTATTTTTTAAAACTAAGAATTAATTACTATTTATTAAAAACTATTTTTTGCCGTATTTACAAAAAGGCATTTCATATCTCTATATTTAGAATATAGCAATTTGTTTTTAAATCCAGCAAAAATACTCCGACACAAAATAAAAACCTGGAGGGATTTAATAAGTGCCTGGCCGAAAGAACATTTTTAAAGAATGTAACAAACCTAGAACTGAACAGGCAAGCAAAAAATAAGGTTTAAACAGGTAGTAAAGATTGTCTAAAACTTTGACATTTATACCTATAATTGAGGTGTGCAAGAAACCATTACTTGACCTTAATCGTGATTTTTGTTGTAATTAACTTCTTAATTGATCGAATAGTTATTAAAAACCTATCTAATGAACTTTTAAGAGATTAATGATGTTGAACAGTTTTTTCTTTTCTAAAATTCACAAGTTGTTGATTACAGCTTTCAAAGCTTACAAATTACATATCAAATTTTTTTTATTTTTTTGCCAAAACGCCATTTTTACTTGCCGCTGGCAATAATTATTATTCCAGGGGCAAGTAAAAATAGTGCTTTGTGAAAAAATAAAAAAAATTTGATAATTTGATGTTGTATAATTATTATTCAACAAAGACTATATCGGGTTTGAAATCATTTTCGGCTTCATTTATTATATCTCTTTGCTTGCATTGGTGATTTTTTATATTTTACTCATAAGAACGTAGTTGGTAGTAGTACCAATTTTTGTGATATCAGAAAGAGAAGGCTTCAAAAAATGTTGCTGATGTTGAACAGTTTTTTCTTTTCTAAAATTCACAAGTTGTTGACGCAGTATACAATTTTCATCTTTAAGTAACAGTAACTCGTTTTCCATGGCTGTTTTAAAAGGAAGAAATTCATAACGGAGTTCTTCATTTTTATTTAAGACAAAGGAAACTGAGTTTGCGCTGACACGATTGATTAAGTACTTCTGCTAGTTGATGCAGAACACAAATATAGATTGATGGCCTACCATCTTAAATAACAGTGGATTACCTCCTGTCCGTGAAAAATATTGTTACTATTATTATTTGCTTATTAACAACAATCACGAGTTATTAATGTGTTATTTTCCAAGAGTTATTAACGTGTTATTTTTTAAATAGGAAGGTAATTAGTAACAATAGATTTTTTACTGAATAATTAATTTGGATATATTAT